CCCCACCCCTGTCCTCCCAAAAAAAAAACAAAAGAAAGACAAGTCATAACCGCCCTGCACAGCGTAGCAGCCACAGGTCTGCATTAAGCATACCAATCGAACGGCCCAGTTTTCAGGTACAGGGCCTCTTTTACCTTGATTAAGATGTTTACAGTTACACCGCCTTTCCCCTGGTAAAGGTTTACAGGCAAAAGGGCTTTACCATGGTAAAGGTTCACAAGCATAGGGCCTCTACCGTGGTAAAGGTTGACAAGCATAAGGGCCTTTACCATGGTAAAGGTTGACAGGCACAGGAGCTTTACCATCATGGTAAAGGTTGACAGGCACAGGGCCTTTACCATGGTAAAAGTTGACAGGCACAGGGCCTTTACCATGGTAAAAGTTGACAGGCAGGCCCTTTACCATGGTAAAGGTTGACAGGCTTCCCTGCTTCTGGGCAGCCAGTTAGCAATGGCTCAGCAAATACAAGCAGTAAAGTAGGCCTCCGTAAACAGTCGATAAAAAACAGACCGCAGTTCAAATCCAGATGGAACTGCCCAGTTACCAATGGCACAGCAAATACAAGAAGTAAAGTAGGCCTCCGTGAGCAGTCGATAAAAAACAGACCGCAGTTCAAATCCAGATGTAACCCGATGAGGAAAATAACTCTTGAGTTTGAATCTGGTGCCATTCACTCCGGATTACCGGATCGAAGGGGACACGCTGTCGAATCACTCACCCGTCATCGGTGCTGTTGGGCCTGTTGTAACAGATCCAACGGCTCAGATCAACGCGTGATCTTAAAGCTGTGAGAGCGCGAGACAGTCTGGACCATTCGACTGGTGAGGTCCGACAGCCCGACTTCAAAGTTTCTCGCATTGCTGCAACAATCCTGGCCATTGGCCCGACAGGGTTTGATGGAGCAGATTCAAGAATTGTTACGTTCATGCGACAATCCCGCCTGTTGGGTCTGGAAGGGCCCGGCAGGTCGGATTCAAACTTCCGTACATTAGTGAATTTAATAGAGGGTAGCCTGGGTAGGGATAAAGTTATACAACTCCATGGGAGACTGCAGCAAAATGTGTTCGCTCATGAATTTCATGAGCACTTTTTTTTTTTTTCTCGTCTGAATACTACTATGATGTCTATCTCCATATCAGTACTACCACTACCAACAAATGTTATAACAAAGTGCCGCTAGCTCTATGGTCACTGCCACTGCAATCAAAAGCAGAAAATTAACCGCAACTGGAAAGTAATCAAAGCAGTTACTCAAGGCTCTGTATGACCATAACTGCTGTGCTTACTTCTCAGTTGTTGAGAAAGAATCCCTGCCAGCAAACAGGTGGATGACTAGACCTACCGAACCACCTCCCTAACCTAATTACCTGCGCCTTCATGTCAAATTTTGGCATAGAAAGCACCAAAATTCTAAAGAGTCTGAAGACTATGAAGTAGTATGAACACAATAATGTCATTATCAAACCTCCCTTCTGTCAGAGCCATACTGGTATACACAGACTGCAAAGGATAGATTGCGGTTTTACCTTTTCCTACGCACCGAAGGTGCCGAAGCTGATGGAGAAGTCCTAATAAAAGCTATAAGGGGGTAGAGCAGCCCTAATAAAAGCTATAAAAGGATTTATAACTGCCAATTGCCACACCAACGTTGCCAATCCGTGTTCACCATCGATGACATATGCATTCCGTCTACTGTGTCTAATCCATCTCTATGCCATCTATGGCTATGGCGTACCATCACTCCCTATACCATGATTGACATCACATGTTGTACAGCTATTTTTGGAAATCGTTATTGCTCCCAGCTATGCGATTGCTGATATGAATTCGCACTCTCGCCTCCAGTTGCCTCTTTTATTGTTGACATCAACCATGCATACCCACCATTGGATGGCATCAGGCAGAGATGTTGTATAGCTATTTTTTGAAATCGCTATTCCTCTCAGCTACATGCCATTGCCGATATGAATTTGCACTCTCGCCTCCAGTTGACTCTTTTATTGTTGACATCAACCATGCATACCCACCGGTGGATGGCATCAGGCAGAGATTATCGATCAGTTAGGAGGGTAGTCGGGTGTTCATGAAAGACTGCCGCTTCATTGACGAACAGTATGTCATGTAAACAAGACCGCCGCTGCTTTGACGAACAGTATGTCATGTAAAGAGAGGAGCCAGCTCTACCCACTTTCTCTGCTGCAGCATGCTGAACACTTGAGTGCTCCCTTTCCACAGCTTCTTTCATCGCGCCAATGACAACCCCGACCCCGCCCTCCCCCCCCCCCCCCCCCCCCCTCCCTCCCCAACCCAAATTAGGGAGGCAAGGCATACACAAGCTCAGGCGATGGCCACTTCACTTGTACCGGAGCAGAGATGTGCCTAAAAAAAACATGTCAGACATTGTCAGTTCTACTACAACACCTCATAACATCCCCCCAATCTATTCTTTGGTTGTAAATTTGGCCATCTTGTTTCGCTAACCGTTCGCAGCTTTTCCCTCCTCACGATTCTCTCAGGAGATTTCTACCAAACCCACCAAGCCATCATACCTGCCTGCAAGAAGATCTCTCCTTCTTGCTCTCATTCTTCCACCTTCTCTCTTCTCGCCCCCCCCCCCCCCCCCCCCCCCCCCCCCCCCCCCCCCCCCCCCCCCCCTCCTCTCTCTCCTGTACCCTCTCCTCATCACACATTCCATGGCCCACAGCCGCATGATGTGGATGTTCTCCCCCTCCTGTCCCTCTTCAAGATTTCTCTTATCCCCACTCGCTTGGGCATTCTCGCCTTGTCAGCCTTTCTCTTGTACGCCTTCTGTGGCACACAGCTGGATGTTCGCTCCCTCCACTTCCGTGGCTGTTCTCTTGTTTACCTTATAGGGAAGAACAGCTGCATGCTTGGTTTGGTGCATTCTCGCCCTCCTCAGATTGCTCACCTCCCACTTCTTCCTTGTCGAGCTTTCTCCTGTACCCCCCGCTTGCATGCTTCAACATTCTTAGCGCTTGCCCGTTCTCTCGTCCACTTTCCATCGGGCGCAGCTGTATATGCTTGGGGCATTCTCGCCCGGCTCACATTGCTCAGCTCCTTTTGCTAACACATTCCCCCACTTCTCCCTTGCCTACCTTTCTCTTGTCCACTACTTGCGTGCTGTCCATATTCTCATCCTTTTCAGAGATTACTCCCCTCCTGCTGCCCTTCCATATTCCCCTTCCTCTCAATTCTTCAAGCCTTTTCTGTCGGTTACCCCTTCCGTGCCTCGGCCATTATCACCCTCCACAAGTTGCTCACCTCTTCTTTCTGCGACCGCATCCTCTCCTTCCCGCAAACACCGCAGAGCCGCTGATGGAGGCACTGGATACAGTAGGGATACCAACTGGCCATCCTCTCATTCTTGCAGACGCTACAAAAGTGCCGCTGATGGGAGGCACTACGGTAGGGATACCAACTGGCGACGCTCTCCTTCTTGCAAACTTCGCAGCGCCGCTGACGAAGGCACTACGGTAGGGATACCAACTGGCAATGCTCTCCTTCTTGCAAACCTTGCAGCGCTGCTGACGAAGGCATTACAGTAGGGATACCAACTGGACATCCTCTCCTTCTTGGAAACGCTGCAGCCGTGCTGATGGAGGCGCTACAGTAGGGATCCCAATCAGACATGACCTACCGTCCACGGACGAGACAGCTAAGTGTGACCTTGACAACCTTCGCCACTGTGTGTTGAACTCTCTCTCTCCTCGCCGGAGGGTAATGTACCTGGTTGTGAATCATGCACTGTGCATCCATAGGAATCAGAATAATTCAAGATCGGTTTTTTTTTTTTTTAATCTCCCTGCATGCATGTTTCAGACACCTTTGATCTGCCCACTGATCCACGGCTGCGGATCGACGCACTTGCCACCTACATAAAGACCCCAGTGAAGATGAGGTCCAGTTGCAAGACCCGTCTCGCCGACGGTGCCGATCACATCGCCGGCGTGAACCCGCTGTCCTTCGCGGACGGCAATATCCGACAGATGCATCAAGATGCTCGTAACGCCGTGGCCGTGGTCAAGCCCCACACAATTTCCGTGGAGACCAAATCCCTCCTTTTCTCTTCCTACCAACGCTACCTCGCCTGCGGCGGGGGCCTTCACAATATCGCCTTCTGGTGCTCCATAATCCACCCCTCGATGGTAATACCCCTTGGCAAAGACCCCGTTATAGTACCTCTGGACGCCATAGGGAGTCGTCACCTCGCCGTCACTTGGCACAACAAATTTCCCTTCCCAGTATTGCTTAGGAGTCCTCCTCGCTCTCAGCGCAGCCATGGCTTTCATCTCTTGCTGCGTACCCAACAAGCCGGACTTAGTATCGCTTAGCCAAATCGACTCGACCACGTACTCCCGATCCTTCAATTCCAGGGAGCGATAGAACGGCCTGTGCCGACCATCGGAAACATCCACCATAAGATCCTTCAGACCCGGGGAATCCAACGGTGTCGTGGGAATGAATGCCCGCCACCGCAAAGAGTCTGGGGATACGGGGTAAACCGGAACATCCGTTTTCTCGTACTGGACACGGACAAGGTTATTCTTCCGGAAATGCGTCCATGCATCGTTCCACAGCTTGTCGAACAAGTTCCGTGGAGGCGGCAAGTTGACCATGACCTGCAGCGTGTCGCCCGTATAAAGCGAATTAGCGGCCGACAGCCAGACGTCAGCAGGGGGCCGCTCCAGTCGCGCAAGCCGCACCAAGCACTTTCGCAAGTTCGCTCCTTTCATTGCCGCAATCGCACACAATCCCCCATTGTCCTGACCGACAACCTGCATCGATCCTTGCAGAAGGGCAAATGCGGGCCGACCTTGCCACAAACCCTTCTGGACATCCTTTGGGGAAAGAAGCAACATCGACGAGGTGACATGGTGCCACATGGCACGAGGAACATCCTTCGGCGATGATGTTCCATGCTTCTTTTTCTCGATGATGTCATCATCGCCTAACACTGACATCATGCGTAGTTGGGACTTCACGGAGGAGATCAACCCATCAACGGCTGAGAAGACGCCCCTGCCGACGCTAGAAGAGAGCTTCCTGGCCATCGCTTGACCACCATACCTGACATGGCCTTTTCCGTCAGCGGCCAACACGGTACCCTGTCGTTCACTAGGGCCTGTGGTCGTCATCTTCGGTGATTTTAGCACCGCTTGGCGATCGTCTCTCTGCATACCAGCAACCGAGAAGGAGAGGGCGCCAAGAGGCAATAATCTCCTCCTTGGCAGTGAGGGAGCCTCGCTCCCACTCGAGAGATTGGACATCGCGGCCCCAAGCAACGATGACTGCAATGCAGTTCGCAGCTGGTCACACTGACATACCGTCCACGACTGACATTTGGACGAACTTGACAGGCCATCCTCGCACCCGCAACTCCTCCCCTTCCCTGAGCTTCGCATCTGACCCTTAACCCTCGCTTCGGGAGACGGGCTCCCATACAACATCCACATGGCACCTCAGCAGGCACACACACACACACACACACACACAGAGAGAGAGAGAGAGAGAGAGAGAGAGAGAGAGAGAGAGTTTTCTTGCAGAGCTGGAACTTGCACAGAGACTGTGTTCAGACTCAGAAGACCAATCCGTAGGCAGAGACAGCGAGAGAGAGCAAGAGAGACACCAACAGCACTCTGTGTGTGTGTGTGTGTGTGTGTGTGAGAGAGAGAGAGAGAGAGAGACAGAGAGACAGAGAGACAGAGAGACAGAGAGAAAGGACCTGCTGCGGAGCTCACACTTGCACAGAGACTATGTGATCAGAAGAAGCACCCGCCAGTGATGCCAGCAATGTGACATTCATATCCACTGAGTCCTTACACCACGGCTAGCCATCACAAATTCCGTTATATAAGACGTACGATGCCAATACTGCTTGCTTCAATTTGATGGCCTGCCCACACAAATGCAAATGTATTCAACAGAGGTGCAAAAAAAGGAGGGTCTCAGAAATCGACTGTGACTCAGAGACGTACTACCCACTTCATAGCAGCAGCAGGTCCACATGGTACATGTTCACGATCTCCCCCGATTTATATTTATTCACTAATTAAAGTTTAATTTTACTGGATTGTTTATTTACTTATTATTATTACTTTATTATGTATTCATTTATTTATATTGTTTCTCTATCTTGGGGTGTGTTTGTTTCCTTAGGACTTTGGACGCTTCTGTGATGAAGAACCCCACCATGCCATTTCCCGGCTTGTATAATAAAAGACTTCTTTGAAAAAAAAAAAAAAAAAAAAAAAAAAAAAAAAAAAAAAAAAAAAAAAAAAAAAGCCATGCCTGCTCACTAAAATCTCTTTAGTTATTCATTTAGGGGGGGGGGGAAGGGAAAAGCCCCAAACTCACATGTTACAATGTCAACAAGAGGATATGCCTACTTGAGTGAAGACCGGACAAGCTCTTTTTTTTTGTTCGTTTGACTCTACGAACATTTAAATTTTTATGCCATTTTATTATTAAAAAAAAAAAAACAATGCCATTGCTGCTGCGAGGATTTCTCTGTTACATCGCACCACTCGTTCCCCGCGAAACAACAACGACAACGACGACGCTAACAAAAATGACAAAAACAACAAAAATGACAAAAATAAAACAAAATGACAGAAACAACAAAAATGGCAAAAATAAAATAAAATGAAACAGAAACTGAGAAACAACAAAAATCATGACAAAAACAACAAAAACATTAAACAACAACAACAACAACAAAAGCTCTAAACCCTAAACCCTAAACCAGAGGCCCGAAACCCTGACGTCATGTGTACAGCTGACTGCACTCACAGAGGGAGGAGATCAACCAATCAACCCATCTATGGTCCTCCTCCCAATCGCGACGATTGACCCCTGATGATGGCCTGGCTGGCGACCGGACGAAACGTGCGTAGGGTCGCGCTTTCGTGGTTGACCCTTGATGACGTCGTTTAACAATAGTCATGAACAGAACAACCCATCAATAGCCAGCCCGTGCAAAGATAGTCGGCTGGTTTCCGTTGAATCGGCTAACTACCGTCAGGAAGTTGCTGGAAGTTGCTGACTATCTTTACACAAGCTGGCTATTGATAGGTTGTTCTGTTCAGGGCTATTGTTAAATGACCTATCAGTATCAGGGGCGCGTTCGGGAGACGTATGGTGCTGAATCTGCAGATATCCTCTCTCCTCTCCTCTCCTCTATGGTTGCTGCGTCTCTTAATCTCTCTTTGCCTGCTTCGGTGGTTTCCCTGGTGTGACCTTGCGCATCCTGTTGTTATGCTCACTTCGAGTTGAGTTTACTATCTGCTACACTCATTGAGTGTTTCTATTCAGTTACCCAGGAGTAAGCAGTTTCTCAAAAAAGAAAAAAGAAAAAAAAAAGAAAAAAAAAGAGGACTTCAAAAAGAAAGAAAGACTATAACTCCGCCCTATAACTTTTTTTTTTTTTTTTGGGAGGCCCTAACACACTTTTTTCACGCAACTGCCCCAGTTTGTCATGTCCCGACCGCAAGCCAGATGTGCGATTCGTTTGGTACAAGCTGCAGTGGCCACGCGACAGACAATGGAAACGTGTCACATATGGTACCGCCGGTTGTTGCTGGATTGCCACTTACTTCTTGCAAATAGACCCGGTGACTCAGGCAATAATCGCACTATTTCCGACTGAATTTCACCGTAATTACGATCAGATACATCATCAAAAGTCCCAATAGTAAATCAGTACGTCCTTCGTCGTACGCCCTCATCAGGGGAAGTCCCACAATCAGGTGAACCGGAGATGATTCAAAGAAAGGCGACATGTTTCACCTCGCCAACAACCCCCCCCCCCTTCCCCCTGCTTCCCCACTCTCCCCCCCCCGGTCCCCCGCACAATTAAAAACTGAAATAAAGAAATGAACAACAACAGACACCCAACTCAGCCCATGCGGCTGCATGGCACCGAAAACTGCATGCACACACATAGGCCCTCCCACATCATCAACAGATGAGAATGACGATACGAGCACCATGCCCTCCTATCATGAGTCCTATGGGCCTACCCCTTTTTTGCGGGGGGCGCTCCAATCTATAGGTGGGGAGCTACACCCGCTGGAAAGCGGGTCCAGCCTCCAGCGACCTAGCGCAATTGGTAAAGCACGCAAGTGGCATTCAGGAGGTCTTGGGTTCAATTCCCTATTATTAGTGGCATCCTATATGGGTATTGGGTCCAATCCCTATATGGGTCTAATCCCTATTGGCCCCATGTACCTCCCTGTGCAAGTTTGTTGGTGCCCGCCACCTAGAGATTAGCGGTTGGTGCCCCCAAGCGGCACCGAGCAGAAACTGCTGACGTTTGTAGGGCGGGGGG